CTCAATATATGTAAATTTAAGTATAAGGTGTTGATCTCCGTGATGCTAGGACAAAACTATATTGAAATGTTTGCTGATATTTGTTTACTATACTACTATCAACCATGACAGATTTTTTTATGGTCCATCAACCCCTAACAGGTTATTTAAAGGCAAAAAGTATTTTTATACTGTAAGAGTTTTTTGGCCAATATTAATGATATACTAATACAAATTTTACTAATTAATCCATAGCTAGGAGGAGAAGAGGTGAATTCATACTTTTTCCAAGATTATTTGCACATAAGTGAATATAATGACCTCAATGAGAACTTGAACTCTGCTCTCCGATTTCTAATTCTGGGTTGTTATCCATTACAGCACCTGGAATTTTCAAGTGATCATCCATCTAAGTACTGACAAGGCTCAACATTGCTTAACTTCAGTGACACTAGACTTTAGAAGGAACTTGAAACCCAATCCTAAAGAGGCAAAACTAAGGATAAACCTTCTACTCCTGTTCAAAAGACCGGAAAGAATTTTGAACCTATCTATTAGGTGTTTGATGAAAGAAAAAGTAATTCAATAGTAAATAAAAGTTCAGAAGTTTAGGAGCAGATGTTAGAAAGTATAAGTTGAAGTAGACTTTAGAAGGAACTGGAAAACCCAATCCTAAAAAGGAAACAAGGATAAAATTCTACTTTGTTCAAAAAGACTGTAAAAAAAAAAAAACCTATCTATCAAATTGATAAAAGAAAAGTAATTCAATATAAAATAAAAGTTCAGAGTTTTAGGAGGAGATGTTAAAGTATAGAGTTGAATTAGACTTTTAAAGGAACTTAAAAACCCAATCCTAAAAAGAAAGAAAAAGGATAAACTTCTATTCCTTTTAAAAAAAACCGGAGAGGACGGATTATGAACTGAATGATATAAATTCAACCAATCTACTCAAATATTGGAGGAAAGTTCTGTTAATGTTAAATTGTTTAAAAAAAAAATATTAATCTTAATCTTTTGCAAAGTTTTTTTTTTTAAATGGATGATTAAAAAAAAAAAAGTTCTAAAAATTCTGTTAATTTTTTTTGTTGTTGAATGTTATTAATAGTAGTATATAAAGTAATATTTTATGTTAAATAGTAAATAAAAAAAAAAGTTTACCTGATTTCCCACATGATCCAAGGCATACAATCTGCCATCAACACATCCAACAACAACACCATTACTTGTTATACAAGGTGAAGTAAATAAAGGCTTTCCAAAATCTTCCTTCCATTTTATGCTTCCATCAAACTAAAATAAAGATAACAATATGTACACAACACAAAAAAGCATACCCACAATTTTTATTTTCAAATATCTTAAGACTATTTCTGTCAAATAGTTAAAAGAAAAAGGTTTCATAAAAAAGTGATGCTCAAGGGAGATAATCAAAAACTACATTAATCTCATTAAATAGTCCATCAGCATCTGAAATTTTCAGACAAGTTATATATATATATATATATATATATATATATATATATATTTATATATATTTATGTGTCAAATATAATATGTATGCAATATGAAAAATTCAGAACATTATCATAAATATTTTCACCATTTTGTAGTTTTCAAGTATTCTGAAAAAATTTTAAATTTTCAAGGATTTTCTGTACTATGCATGGCCCAAATTTTATCTTTTCTACACCCCACCAGATATGAATTTCAGAGAAGCTGAATAAAGATTAGGATTTGGGCTTCTCTTTAATCATATTACAAGCTGTTGCATTTATAATGTATTATTTTAGGTTAAATTATAAGTCTTATTTTTGGTTTTGGGAACCAATTTAATGATGAATGTACAGGGTGTGATGGGTAAATTAATTTTAATTTTTTTTTTTTTAAGAATCAAGTTGATAAGCAAAAACTGAAATTATTCATGTCAGTCAGTCAGTTCAGTATCATATTTGATACATGCTTGGGTGATCATGTATCTTTCAATACATTACTGATGAGGCAGAAGATTTTTCCTGCAGTAGGTTGCCATTTTTTTTTTAAGTAGACTAGTTGCCACCCAAGGTTAAAGAACCCAGTCTGTCCTGCTATTTAACCTATAGCTGTGGGGAGAAGAGATAGATTCATACCTTTCCCGAGGGTATCTGTGCATAAGTGAATCTAATGAACTCAACTGGAATTTGAACTCAGCTGCCCAAATTCTCATTTTGAGATGACTCAACCCAACAGAAATAAAACTGAAAAGATATATTGAAAGATTTTTATCATTTTAGATGTTATTTTTAGTGGATACCCATATTTGAGTAGATGTGCCATTTATTTTTTTTTAGAACAGTATTTTATTTTCATCTTGATTTGAACTGCTTTGCTGGAGAAACTGTCATTAGATCAGATGTGCTCTTAACTGACTCGGACACAAAGAGCAGCATCAATTAAGCAATGTTAAATATTGCCTTTTAAGAACATTCTTCTCATTTGAGATTTCCAAAAGTTCATATCAGCTGTTTTGTATCTGAAACATGAACAAAGCAATTTCTAAAGAACTAATGGATTTTTATTTATTAATCCAACAAATTTTTTGTCACTTTAAGTGTTATTTTTATTGAATACCCATATTTGAGTAGATGCCGCGTTTATTTTTATAATTTTTCTTTAATGTTTTTTAAATATTCAGGCTGGTAGATGAAAATAAAATACTGTTTAAAAATAAATAAACTGAGTGTCTACTCAAATATGGTTATCCATTAAAATAAGGTTTAAAGTGTTAAAAATATGGTTATCCATTAAAATAAGGTTTAAAGTGTTAAAAATATGGTTATCCATTAAAATAATGTTTAAAGTGTTAAAAATATGTCAGATTAATAAATAAAAATCTATTAATTGTTTAGAAAAATATGTTTCTAACAGTTCCACAGTTTGAATTTCTCTTTTCTTTTTTCTACCTTATAATTTCGTTTGATCTGTCTAATTATGACTGGAATTCTTTATGGAGTTCTTTGTTGATATACAAATCAAAACATGGACCTAGTCTCTTTTCTGGTTATAAATATTAAAAAAAATCTGCAAAAAAATTGCTGGTTCCAAATTTTAATAAAAATAACCTTAATTCTTTTTCTCTTTCTTTTTTTTTAAAAAGATAATTTACAAAGAAATAGATTTCCACTGAACTGAATATTTTTCAGCTTTAGGGAGATGAACCTTTCATTATCTTTCATTAATTCAATCAAACATTGTTTCTACTTACAGGATCCATGCTATATAGATATCCACCCAATGTAGAAATGTAAACTTGATGTGGATTGGTGCAAATGGATGGAGAAGAAAATATACTTCCAGTCTGGAGATTTTTCTTTATTTTATTGGTTCTAGACTGAGAAAGAAAAAAAGAAAAATAGGGGGAATAAGCATTGATTAGTTGTTTTATTGACTGATTCATTTTCTATGGCTTATCAACCCTTTTCAGGTTATTTAAAGCCAGAAAATATTTTTAGAGTGTAAGAATTTTTTTTTTTTTTTTAGATAGTAATGGAGCAGTGAATACAGTTCTTACTAATTTTTCCCATATTAAAGAATCTGGAAGTGGTGGATTCATATCTTTCCCATTAGGTGTCAATTGTGTAAGTTAATATAACAAAGCCAATTGGCTGATTGGAACTCAACTCTCTGGTTAACAATTCCAAGCCATTATCCATTCTCCACCAACACATTTAAGCTTGATGATAAATTGGTAAAATTCCCCAATTGGTCACCCACTGATACTTTAGCCAGGCTCGACATTCCTTTTTTCAAAATTTTTTCAATAATGATGTGTCCATAATCCGATAATGATTAGTAAGGATTTATAAGAATAAATTACACTTGAAAAAAAGAAAAAAGATTTTGTCTTTCAGACATTTTTTTTTTTAATCACTTTGTGCAAGGCAATAAAGCCAATAAGAACATTTAAATTTTTTCCTTTCTGATGGTAATAAGCAAAAAAAAAACACTATTGGGGTGAACAATAAACAATAAAAGGACAAAAATTAAGATAATGATTGACATTACATTTAATACATTTTACTTATGTGCAAATGGAAAATTAAGAACAATCAAAAATTATACAAAACTTATAAAATGAAAATACCTATAAAAAAATGAATAAAGAGATAATTAATTATAAGTCATCTTCGTTATATAACAAAAAACAACAGATATACAAAAAGTTAATTACAGTATTTGACGGCATATAAGGAGCATTTTTTTTTTTACTAAAAATATCCTTTAAAATTCTTCTGTGTCTTAATATACTCCTATTAATTTACTAATTTTACTAAATTACTAATTTTTTTTTGATTTGCTCTAAATAAAATTGGGGTGTGTTTTTTACACCCATATTATTTATATGCCATCAAATATAAAAATTTCATTTCAACCATGCTAAAATAAATTTAGAAAATTTTCATCTATTGCTCAATTTAGAAATACTTTAATTGCACAAAAACTAGAATAACAGCCAGAAGTCATGAAACAGCAAACCATGTAAAATGAGTTTTTGAAATATAAGAGATAAAAAATTATTTGTTTAATATTATTGAAAATCCAGTCATTGATAGATATCGATTCTGTTTGGTTGACTGATTTGTTTTTTATGGCTTATCAACCCTTTGCAGGTTATTTAAAGCCAGAAAATATTTTTAGATTGTAAGAATTTTTGGGAGATATTGATTATTTACTGATACAAGTCCTACTAATTAACCCATAGTTAGGGAGAAGAGTTGGATTCATGCCTTTTCCAAGAGTAGTTGCATGTAAGTGAATATAATGAACCTGACTGAAATTGGAACTCAGCCCTCTGATTAACAATTCCAAGCCATTATCCATTACACAATCTGCACACACACATGCTTACAGCACCTGGTATTTCCAAGTACTCACCCATATAGTTACTGACCAGGCTCAATGTTGCTTAACTTAGGTGATTGTACAAGAACCATTGTTTCAATGTGATATGGCCATAAGCCCATTATACCACATGCACATCAAAGCTTACAGCACCTGCTATTCCCAAGCGGTCACCCATCTAGGTACTGAACAGACTCAACATTGCTTAACTTTGGTGATCATACAAGAACTGGTGTTTCAATGTGATATGGCTGTAA